TCCACTCTACACCTAGATTCAGAGAGTGCCTCCGTGACACACACCACACTGGGTTGGCTCAAAGCTCATCCCAGCCTAAAGTAATCCAATGAAGTTTACACCACAAAGGAGGTTGTGCAAGAGATGTTGCTTTTCTTCATAGTATTAAATTCAACCCCAAGCTCTTGTGCCAATCAACAGGAAATTCAGTGTCAGTCACCACTGGGACCTCCACACACACAGTGTTGTGCAAAGTGGCTTGAGTTCTTGCACAGAGCAAAGAATGGGGGAGGCCTTGCCAGCTCTTGCCTCGCTGTTCACTAATGAGCTGTTCAATATCCAAGCCAACCTCGTCCCTTGACATTTAGTGAGTTTGCTGATTCTGTGTCAAATTAGGGGCATAAGAAACTGTACTAAAGATGATAAATTGGGGACTAAGGTTTTGCCTCCCTAGGGATCCCATGGAGACAGTGCCTGTTTCTGTCCACTCCCCAAGGCTCTGCCAGGAAGTGGAATGTGGGTCCCCAACACACTCTCTTCCATCCCTTTTTTTCTCAGCTTTAAGCAAGCTCTTCTCTTTTCCTTACTACCCTCTTTTCTTTGCCCTTCAGGGACACTTATTATAACCATCTCAATGAATTTAGGCTAGGGGTAACTAGCCTGTGGTTGTCAGCAGTTTTTGGTTTGGCTCACGCAGTGTTTTTTATTTTTAAACTGAAATTCGCTACCTGTGTTTAAAGACTAGATGCATTCACATAAAAATCTCTTATTCTAGATTCTTATGAGCATTTGGAAAATCTGGCTTTTACTGCATGGCAATAACCAGCTGGAACAGAGAAAAACTGGGACAAGGAGGGGATGCCCCTCCAGACAGCTGACCTGCCCTGATTCTCTGCTTCTGCTCAGCCCCACCCTGACCACTGCACTCGCAGCACTGGCCTGACCTGTAGGAGGGTTTCACTTTGGGATGCTCTACTGTGGTCTTTCACAAAAGCCAGGGAAAGGGACTGTCTGGGGGATATCACCCCTAGAACATAAGTGTAGAACAAGCTGAGGGAATATAAAGAATCTGGTTACCTTTGAAGAACCAGAAAAGGGAACAAATAACAAAATAATACAACAAATGATCCCTCCACACTAACAATACAAATATCCACCACATTCAGGAATTTCATCATGGCCTAGGCCCCTCACAGAAGTGATGCCATTTAATCATCAGAAAAACCATGCAAAGTAAGTACTATTAACCATGTTTTATAGACAGAAAAACTGAGGCTCACAGATGAGTGCCCTGGCCAAGTCACAGAGCTAATAAGTTGTGGAACTTGGAATTTAGGTATATACAACTCTTCAATACTGGGCTATTCTGTCTCTCTCATGATCCAGAAATTAGTGACTGTTCTTCAAGGGATTAAAGGCGCCCAAATTAATTGTTAAGTTTTATTGTATCCATTCCTGGACCAAAAGGGTCAAATCATCTTTGCACTAAATGATGAGCACTACTTACTACTTTCACTCCCTTTTCTTCTTCCAAACAGAGGCTATTTTCTAAGCACCTCTTAAGTTAAGGATCTGGCACCATACTTTTACAAAGAGCAGTTATTCAATAGATGTGCTAATTTTATTAGTCCTGGGAGCTTGCCTTAAATTTTACTAAGTTTGTGTGAGTTTGTGTGTATACGAGGGAAGGGGATGAAGAAGGTCATAGAAGTTATTGAACAGAGAAAAAATACAGAGAAATACTACAGAGTAAAGTGGTTTTCCAAAATGAGAAATAGCTACAGAAAAGGGAAGGTTTAAAATGAATCAAAATGCTTTCTTTGGTTTTTTGTTTTTCTAGAAACAATAGAAACAGAAAGCTACTTAATATGATTAGCTATTAGCCTGACAAACTAATAAATTCAGAGTCAAACTTTTAATCAAGCATGTCAGTTTGAATTTGCATGTTTATATGCTTATAGTGTAATTGTTTTTTGTTTTTCTAGAAACAATAGAAACAGAAAGCTACTTAATATGATTAGCTATTAGCCTGACAAACTAATAAATTCAGTCAAACTTTTAATCAAGCATGTCAGTTTGAATTTGCATGTTTATATGCTTATAGTGTAATGAGTCTCACATTAACAGTTAAATATTACATACATTTTTAGCATTTACTTATGTATTTTGAAATAATATTTAGCACTTCATAAACTTATAATAAAATTTTCCCCCATGAATTTCAGCTAAAATGTAATGATTTATATTAGAACTGAAGTAACTACTGTTTGATATCACATATGAAAGGAAATTAGATTACGGAATAACAATATAGATGGAGATGAAATTATAAGTCCACTTCTAGATGGGAAATTTCCTATCATTAGTTTCTACAGTCTGAAGAAAAAGCACTATGCCAGCTAAACTGGTGGCTTTTCAGTAGCTGTGATGAGGTAATTTAAATAATAACAATGTTGTTTGGGAGGGAAATCTAAATAAAGAGAATTATGTGAAAATTTTACTACCTGAAAAAGTTTCTTCGTTAATTCGAATGATTTTTCATATTTTTTATGATCTCAGATTATTCTCTAGCATGCAGTAATGGTTCATAATCTAGGTTTTAAGCCCTGCTGGATATCTTAAAGCAAAACAACAAGGTGTATTCATGGGCAGCTCCTGGTTCTTTTACAGCTACTACTTAAGGTCTGAGAATGTTAATATAAAAAGATAGTAACTAAGTGGAATTTACTATGTTTAAGTCCTGAACTAAGGAATCATGTATATTCAATTTATACCTGAAATTGAGGCTCAATGAGGTAAAGCAGTTCCTCTAAGGTCACCCATCACATAAACGGCAGAGGTAGGTTCCAAACCCTGATCTTCTGGTGATGGAGTTAGGATGTATTGTCCTCCCAGAACTCATGGAAATCTGATCTCCAATGTGGCAGTTTGGGTCATGGGAGCACATCCCTCGTGAATGGGTTAATGCTCTCCCAAGTGGGTTGTTTAATGAATGAGTTCTCGCTCTATTAGTTCCCACGAGAGCTGGTTGTTTAAAAGATACTGGCACCTCCTCTCTCTCTCTCTTGCTTCCTCTCGCCATGTGAGCTGCTTGGAACCACCAGCTGCTGCCAGTTTCTGCCATGAGTAGAAGCAGCATGAGGCCTGCGCCAGATGCAGCTGTCCCAGAATTGTCAGCCAAATAAACCTCTTTTCCTTATAAATTACCCTGTCTCAGGTATGTCTGTTATAGCAACACAAACGGACTAATACATCTGGGTACTCTTTCTACCAGAGATACTTGGTCTCATTGCTTGGGCCTCCCTTTGTCTAGAGTTTAATGCTAAGTACTATTTTGCACCACTGGTAATATTGTACTTTGCTTATTGATTTGTTAATCCTCTTTAGTTGTCGGACTTGTTTACTAGATCTCTCAACAGAGGATATGTTAACTGACAACAATGGTATTTTACCAACAAAATTCAGACTGTGGTAAACTCTACAGAATACATGACCAGTTTCTTCAATAAAGAATTTCAAGAAGAAAAAAAAAAAGTAGGAAGGGTTAGCTAAAGATTAAAAAAGACAGGAGACATACCAACTAAATGAATTGTTTGGGAATTTGTTTGGACCTTGATTTGAACAAACTAACTGGAAAAAAAAATTAGACAATCAGAGAAATTCAAACAGTGTATATTTAATGGTGTTAAGAAATTATTGTTAATTTCTTAGGTGTAATAATGGAATTGTTATTTAATATTTTACAATATTTTTTAAAAGTCTTTATCTTTTAGAGGTACATATGGAAAGAGATGAATTGATGTGACGTTAGGTATTTCTTTCAAAATAATGTAACAGATGAAGACGATTGGTCTTGAGTTGATAATTGTTCAGGCTGGGTTCTGGGTACTTTGAGGTTCTTTATATTATTCTGGCTACTTTTAAGTATGTTTGACATCTTCCACAAAAGAATGCATGGTTCAGTGATGAGCCCAAAGCTGATCAGTACTTTGAATTTAATCTGAATAATGCGTCATTTCCCAGAAGCCTTTGAGGTGGCCTGAAAGGGCCTTAGAAGTAATCTAGTTCAATTTCCCCATCCACCTTCTTTTCTTTGGGGCACAAAGAGAGGCAGGAGGAGGAGGAGGAGAAGAGGAAGTCGACGACAACGAGGTCCAGAGACACTATATTATTTGCTCTCAAAACATCAGCTTCTACGTTTACACAGCAAGAAAGCAGGGGAGATACCTCGTGCCTTCCAACTCTGCTCCTTTATTTTTCCCTGTCATCTATTATTGTGATTTACTTTTGCTTTTATCGCTCCAACCGCTGTGGTCATCTAGGTTTCAAGCTGGATAACCTCCAAAAGATTTCTAATCTTCCCTAAAATAAAGTCTGAAATTGGGAGACGTTACGAGGAAATTTTCGGTGGACAGCATTTCGACGCCTCATTTATTTTTTAGTCTTGATTTTGCTAATTAGTTACTTGTAGTCGGGGTAGAAGAACCAACACCTTTAAATCTCACTGCCCACGTGACAATGTTTTTGTTTTAGGGGAATTTCTAATGCACAGGAAATTCTCGGGGAGTTTACGTAAGCGCCAACAATTACAGTATTTACCGTATTGACGCTGCTTGTCTTCAAAGGGCAGGTATTTGAGATGCCGTGCGACGACAATTTAGGGCATTTAGACTTCAGACTTGGGTACCTGAACGGAGCTAGGGTTTTTGTTATTGTTTTTTTAATTTCCACTGATGTATTTCTCAGGTTGCAGCTGGGGCATAGTGTAAAAACCACGCTTCACTCATCCTCCTTAAAGGGAGCTAAGCAGCTTCAGGAAGCGTTTACAGCAGTAGTGCGCCTGCGCTGCTAGCCCCATCAAATCGACCGCCTTCCCCTGTCCGGGTAGCAGGGGGCGCTGTGAGGTAATGAGTTAGTTCTCCTTAGGGCTCTGGAAACGAGCGTAAAACGGCGGGAGGCGAAGCGGGCTGAGGGGCGTTCTATCTTCGACTGCCCTGGTCTCTATCGCCCTTTGTCCTCCAGCCTCCCCGGGTCACTGGGCCTGCGGGTCTGGTTGCTAGGCGGAAGCAGGGTGCGGCGGCGGCCGCTGCGGCTGCCCGGGCGTTTGAAAAGCGGCTACGTAGGCGGCAAAAGGTCCCCAAGCGGCGGGCGTTCCTCTACCTGCGGGCGGGCCAGGCTGGGCTGCACAGCGGCTTTTGCTTTGAGTTGGGGCCGGGTTAGGTCCTGAATTGGCGGCCTGGAGCGGGGGATCCGGGCGCGCTGCAGGCGGTGGCGGGACCGGGCCGCGGAGCTGTGTCCGGGTGTCCGGGGTAGTGGGCGGGCTGTGGGGGGCCCGCCGGGAGCCCTGCCGGGTGTGCCGAATTACCCGCGACTCACCCGGACCCCTCTTCCGCCAAGCAGACCCCGCCTCCGGGCTGCCGATCGCGACCATGGTCTCCAAGTCCGACCAGCTGCTCATCGTCGTGTCCATCCTAGAAGGTGAGCGGCCTGAGACTTGCTTTTGCAACTGCTGCTTCCTGAATTTTAAGAGTAGTGTGGGACCGAGACTTTGTTAACCTTAAGAACCCTGTCATCTTTGCTTTTGTGGTCTCCGAAGACTTGTTCAAAGTTGTACGTAGCAAGGTCCGTTAGGTAATTGATTTAAAAGTCTCTCAAGGGAGTATGAGAGCTATTAGGGATAAGTGATATTTAGCGTGACTAGCCATAGCCCCAGAGAATCTAGAAAAAACGATTTCCGTCAGTAGTAGCATGTCGATGGCTTTTATATGTGAGCCGAAAGAGGCTTGGAAAGCACCTTCTGTTCAGCGGTGTTCCAGTAATAGCTTTAGTAAGAACTTTGCCTTTCACTTGAACACTGCTTCCTTCAATTTCTAAAGTGTTGCGGAGGCTATTCTCTTTACAAGTCTTGATGGAGGGCTTAAAGGACTACACTTGTTAAGAGGTGTACTTTACATTTCTTAAAGTTTTGTTGGTTGAATGAATGACATTTCTTTACTGGAGACTCATTGAGTGTCAGGCACTCTCCTGGGAATATAAGAATAAAATAGTCCTGATTCTAAAAGCTGAGGATGTAGCACGGGGAATATGTCAACAAATAATTCCTCAGAGTATGGAAGGGGGAATGATCACCCCTGTCTGGGGAAACTGGGGAAGGTTTACAAGAGGAGGCGACATTGATTTGGGTCCTTAAGATGATTAGGAATTTGTCAGGTGAAAAAAGGAAGGGCATTCCCAGCAAACGGAAGAGCAAAGAGCACTTAAGGTATGGAAAAGCAAAATATATTTTGTCTTGCTTCAATTCATTCAATAAATGTTGCTTAAATTCAGTTGTGGTTGTAGAGCAGATTGCAGGAAAGTGGAGGGCAAAGGAGTTGATAGATAAATTGGGGACAGGTTATGAGTAACATGTTAAGGAGTCATCTTGAGCAGGATCAGGGGCGTGGCTGAACTTTTTTTTCCCCCATGGGAGAGTATTTTGTGGAGGCCTGGCACTATTTGGGTGGTGAGAGGAAAGGAAACATTGTAAACCTAATTTTTGAGTTTTGGAACAGAAGCCATGAGGAGTTGTTAGATTACTGATTCTTTAGACATAGGCCTGAAATCACCTTATAATTTGGTTAGCAAAAGCTTTTAGGCTTAGAACTGTGCCCCATGCTATTAGGAAACAGAAATATAATATCCTTTCCCTTAGGGATCTGTCAACATAGGGAGATCAAACTAATGTGTAGGACACAACATGTTGGGGTGTACTATAATATTAAAAATATGTGACATGGACTAAATATAGGTTTGGGGTATGGGGATGATGGCTGAAGTGCCTTGATTAATAAATAATCATTAGATAGGTAAGGATGGAAGAAAGTCATTCCAGGCAATTGGACAATTGCAATGAGCATAGTGGGTGGAACCAGAGGTCAATAAGATAATCAAGGTTGAGGAAGGTGAATATTTAGGAATATTATGGTAAGAAACAAGCTTGTCACTAGAGTTAATAGGTCTTGGAGGATCTTGAAAGCCAAGGAGTTTAGAATTAATGTTCTAGAAATAGATTGGCAGCATATATCCTAAATAAGAGAGTTTCTCAAGATTAGTAGCAGTGTGCAGGCAAGAGAACCTGGAGTCAAGGATGTCAGTTAAGTTGTTGCCACAAACATACCTAAAACTGGTGTGTTTGTATTCCATTCATCGTAACCACACTGCTGCCTCAAGCCAAGAACCTTGGAGTCATCATCATCCTGGATTCCCTCTCCATTCCCAACTTCCAGATGATCACCAAGTATTAGTGATTTTATTTTCTAAATAATAGTAGGTGCTACATATAAACTTTTGAATGAAGTTTACATTGTGATTGCCTTGGATAGGGATCCTCATTGTGGTAATCTTTTCATAGTCTATTTCCTAAATATTTTCTTCCTTTCCAGAAACATCTAGACTGTCCCCATTACTATCTGGGAATAATCTTTCTGAAATGCAAATCTGATTTTCTTAAAATCTTTATTTGTTCTAAAGGATAATGTTTATACTTAGAGTAACATACATAGCCCTTTATTGTAGACCTCTTGCCTACCTTTTCAGTCTCATCTCCCCTCACTTATATTGAGCTGCTCTCAATTTCTTGACTACACCTCTAGAAATGCTCTTATGCAAAAGCACATGATTGAGTTTCTATCATGAGCAAAATTTGGGCTATGTACAGAGTCCAAGAATGAAAAACACAGGGTTTTTGTTTTCAGTGTATTCATTGTCTTTGGAGCAAGGCAAGCACCTGTTTGTTCCACTGCATATCCTCTGTTCTCAAGCTTGTTATGGTAGTGTGACTAAAAATATAGGTTCTTTGGACATATATGGAATTCATTTGGGGAACTAGTGTTCTAGAGAAGCATAAAAGAGGTCCAGAAAGAGTACTGTGTGAGTGCTGACTGGGAGAGTGGAGCCAGCTATATTAAGACTCCTAATAAGGAGTTGCAAATGAGAGTCTCAGCTGAAACAAGGTATGCAGTTAAAGTCTGTCTGAGAAGTTTACTTCCTAACCTGTAGCTTGTGCCAGGGTGAGTAGTAGCAGGGATTTATTTACTGTACGGTGGTTAAAATTCCCCTCCCCAAGATCTCCCTTACCAGACCTATAAACAGGAGGACTAGTATTGACTCAGTGCAAGATTCATAGCGTTGTTCCTTGGTGTTCTTTAACTTCCTGTTTTCAGTTGTTTAAGTTTGTGTTTTTCCACTAGACCCTCAGTTCCTTGAGGGCAAGTACTCTGTTTTTACTCTTTGTATCCTATCGTCTGATGTATTACCTGACTCTGGATATGCCTTCAGTAAACATTGAAGAAATGATGTCATGCAGTACAAATGAAAAGCGATGTGTAATAGAATATTCTAATATTTCTTGGTAATACACAACATTGTCCTTGAGAATAGAATGAATGAATATATATGCTCACTTATTTTTCTTTAGTTAATTTGGAAAGTACTCTTAACTAACAGGAAAATTAAGATGCAGGTAAATTTGTTTTTGCTAATTTGATTATTTCTCAGCTCTTCAGATACTAGTCTGTATTAAGTATTGGTACAGTAATATCTAAAATTGGTGTAATCACATTTTTAACTCTTTAATTCTAAATGTTATTGAGATCATTGCTTGTCAAAGTGTGAAACAACGAGAGCAGCATTGACATCAACTGAGATCTTGTTAGAAATGCAGAATCTTAAGTCCACCCTAGAATCTACATTTTGTTTTGTTTTATTTTTTGTTTTGGCAGCTGGCAGGTACAGGGATTGAACCTGGACCTTGGTGTTAACAGCACTGGGCTCTAACCAACTGAGCTAATCAGCCAGCCCCTAGAATGTATGTTTTTATAAGATTCTGGGTGATTCATATGCACATTAATGTTTGAGAAGCACTGATTTATAAATTATAGCTTTCAATTTGGTTAATGTTTCTTATGAATCATGAAAGTGAGTACCTGTGTGGGTATGTGTTAGTGAGCTAGTTTATGGAATGTATAAGTCAACCACTCTTAACATACGTGTGTATCAGTTTTAAAAAACTCACACTAAGTGATACTATTTGATTTTTTTCCAGTTAATCTGTATAGTCTTATTTCTCCAGGTCGCCATTTCCCCAAACGTCCAAAGCATATGCTTATAGTAGAAGCAAAGTTTGATGGAGAACAGTTGGCTACTGACCCTGTGGATCATAGTGACCAGCCAGAATTTGCTACTGAGTTAGCCTGGGAAATTGATAGGAAAGCACTTCATCAGCACAGGTGACTGTTATTTTTAATTTAAATTTGCATCTTTATCCATTTCTTCTTTTCGGGCTGTTAGAAATCAATAAATTTTATAGCTTTCATCAGATTATAGTAATAATCGTATTTACAGAGTTTTTCTAATATGCCAGGAAATTTTCAAAGTACTTTTCAGCAATAGCATTTAAATATCAGAACAACCATATGAAAGTTGGTGTTATTTCCCCCATATTCCAGATAAAGAAACAGACCTGAGAGGTTAAGTAACTTGCCTCTAAGTCTGTCAGATGGAGTGCTGTAGAGCCTAGCCAGTGTAGCTCCAGAGCCTAAGATTTTGACCACTATACTACACTTGGCTGCTTTTTAAAAATTTTTAAACATGTGAGATAATAGATATTTTAGAAGTACCTTGGTCATGCCTACCCAATAAATATGGGTTGGAATTCATTGTAATTTCTATCATTTACTGTATATTTACCTGGCTTGCTAAGGATATGTAGAGCCATCCAGTGAAAAGTTGTGAAAGTAATTATATAAGGGATTCTTTCTCATTAATTTTATATTTGATTTTAAATAACACTTATTAGTATATAAAATAGACTTAAAGTTATAGCATCATTTCATGAACTCTGTGACCAAAAGCAGGCAAGAACAGCACTAGTTTTATTTATTAAAGGGTTGAAGATGTATTTCCTTTTGTGAAACACATAATCACTTCAGTATTTGCTTGTCCTCAGTACGAAATCAAATCAAAACAGAAAGTTAAAAAAAGAAGGAAAGCTAGTAGACATTTATTTGCTTCTATTGCTAGATCAGTCCATGGATTTATGTGAAAGGGTATTAAATTCTTAGAGAATTCCAGAATGTTGTGTTTCTTTTCAGTGGCATCCGGAATGTCTACTTAGACCGAGTCCTGCTGTTAGATGTGAGAGCCTGCATTTGTGGTTATGTTTACAATTATGTTAGTGCCACATGGTACCACTCTGATTGTTGTAGGCTGAGAACATAACACAGACAAATTGAATTTATAACTGATGATTTCGTGCTAAGTGCAGTTTCATAGTAATTCTACTAGACAGAAGTGACAGCAAAATCTGTTCAGCTCAACGCATGAGCCAATATAGGTGCCTCAAACTCAGAAAGAGCCCATGCTATACCAGTCAATATCATGCTTACAGAACATTGTTGTGTGTTATATTAAATTATTACTTTAAATTTTAGTAGTTTATGATTTTATGGTATTTAATTCCTAAGTTTTTTTTCAGCTACAAAAGGGGCTATAAGCATACTTGTATATGTGTATTTATAATTTTATGTGTGTGACAGTATAAGAAAAATAATTTAAAATCATTCCTGAAGATTTATGATAATTTTTGACTTTCAGAGGGTTTTATACATTAAGCTTGAGAAACATTGACCTAGGTGATAGCTTCTTAGATGAGAGAGACTAAGATTTTGACACATTTCGTATATTATTTAGTTGGTATATAGACAAGTAGATAGTTCTTGCCAGTTGATGAGTTTTTTAAAAAATATGGAAGAAATATAACTTATCCAACAAAATTATAATTGTCTTGATAATAGACACTTTTTTCAGGGCTAACAGAAAGTCGGTTCAATAAAACCATTTTATTTATCACATACGTTGTTATGTTACAGGCTACAGCGTACTCCTATCAAACTCCAGTGTTTTGCCTTGGATCCTGTATCTTCAGCCAAGGAAACCATAGGTTACATTGTTCTGGACTTAAGAACTGCTCAAGAAACAAAGCAGGTATTGCCTTTTTGATTTTTTAAAAATTATTCAATTAGACAGTTGATTATTTTCGATAGATATCAGATTAGAGAAAAGTACATAAAATATTGGACTGGATAGATCATGGGCTTGAACCAATGTGACAGTTCTTATATCTTAATTTATAGATTTGATTAAGGAAATTCCAAGCTTTTAATTATTATTCAATTAGACAGTTGATTATTTTCGATAGATATCAGATTAGAGAAAAGTACATAAAATATTGGACTGGATAGATCATGGGCTTGAATCAATGTGACAGTTCTTATATCTTAATTTATAGATTTGATTAAGGAAATTCCAAGCTTTTAATCATTCCTTTGACCAAGAACTATCTTTTTCAGAGAAAGTTGTCTTTGAGCTCAAACCTGTATCCAAATTGCTGTTACCTCAGGCTTAACATGTTCAACTCCTGAGCTTTCCTTTCAAAGTTGGTCTTCTTCCAGTTTTCCTTGCTTCAGTGAATGGTCAGCACTGTCTTTCCAATTTTGCAAGTTAGAAATACAGAAGTCTTCCTTAACACTTGCCTTTTCCTTCCTCCGTAACCACCCATTGCAGTTGGTTTTTTTCCATCCTGATCCATCTACTATTCTGCACTTTCACTGTTGCCGCCCCAACCTGAGCCTCCCTCACTTCATACCTTGGCTATCATAGTAACCTGATTGGCTTCCCTGCTTCCCACTCCTTGCATTCCTTATGTAGCAGTCAGAGTAAGCAAACTTACTGAAACACAATGTTATATGACCATAACCTCCTTCCATTTGAACAAAAAGAACTCAGGGTTCTGATTCCTGTGTTAGTGCTTTTTATTATTGAACATGCTTCTTCTTATGTCTTCTTAAGTATCCTCTAAACTTTTTCTGTGTGGTTGACTTTAGAAATCTTCCTTTTACTTTTTCTTAATGTCTTTAGTCACAATTTTCTTAAGAAAAATAAAAAATATCTTTTTTATTTTAAACTCCTCCATTCTTGGTTTGAATTTTAAATTAGGAATCTGTGAAGAAAATTTATCTGTTACTAACATTTTTTTTTGCTGATAGCCGTGATATTTACAAATGAACCAGCCAGTCCAGCCCAAAGTTGGAATCATTCAAAAGAAACTGAAATTTTAAAATCCTTTAAACGAGGACTTGTTTTTCCCCATCATTGGATACTCATCACCTCTCTTCTCTGAGCCCTTATCCTGGAAAAGGTTTTCCTTCATTAGTCTTAGACCCTGAACCAAGGTCCCTTATTGGGCCACTGATGTTTCTCTTATCCAGCTTCTCTCCTCTGACGTGCACATGTCTGGAAGATTCTTCTGCAGTAGTTTGGTTGTAGAGAAGGTAAATTTTCTTAGGAGGAAGGTATCTGAGGGAAGAGATCATGCTTCTAAATGTTCTTGGCATTTCTCATCCCCTTGTCTAATCCTATAGGACAGTTTGTCAATATATTTGTTACCAAAATTAAGGAGAAATGGTTCAAAATTATGTTAGTTTTATGAAAACCAAGTGCCATTTTATTCTCTTCTGTTCACAAGCAGAAATATTTGAAATTGGGTAGTAGAATATTTGAAGTTCAAAATAAATTGATTTTCTGTAGATAAATATAAACACAGAAACATTCAGATATATTTTTTTGAGCTATACAACAGAAAAATATGAACTCTGCAAGTAGCTAAAATTGTTTTTAGGCTTATACTTAAAATTAGAAAATATTTATCATAAGAAGTATAGCAACAAACTATTACTGTATTTTTATCTTTAAAAAACTAGGTTGTTGATTTTTTTTTTAAACTTATGGCCTAGTTAATTTTATTGTACTTAAACATACATAACTTGAATATAAAACATACATAACCTGAATATAACACAGCAGTTTATGGTTTTGATCAGTATAAGCACCAGTTACTGTGCCTTTGTCTAACAGTGGTCACAGTAAGAATACCATTTCCACATATTGAAATGGCGCCCCTGCTGACCATTAGTAATACATGTAGTCCAGGGCTGTGAGAATTTCTGATGTTGCTCAAGGCAGGATATCTAAGTAATTTAGCATACTTCACTCTGTGAGAAGGCCTGTGTTTCCTTATAGTCAAGAACATCGTTCATAACACAGAACTCTACCGTTAGGCCTTTGTGTTAGTATTTTGTTAGTGTTTTTTATTAACACTAAGATTTTCTTTTCCTTATTTGATATAAGCAGAGCAAAGCAAAAATGTGGCAGGCATAAAAGATATAATAAAATGTAGAAAAGTAGGGTTTAGGGAAACAGAAAATTCGTAGTTTTTTGTTGTTTAAGGGATGAAGTAAGATTGGAGATATAAGGCTTAAAGGTAGAAAAAATATATATATTGTGTTTTCTTCTATTTATAACACCTCATTTTAACCAACTGAGCTAACTGGACAGCCCTTTTGCTTTAATAGTTTAGCTGTTGAAGCATAGGAATGGAAGAAACGAAGATAATCTAAACTTTTACTTACATTTTTCAAAGGGAAATTCAGTTGATGGCTTCCTTTTTGCTTTAATAGTTTAGCTGTTGAAGCATAGGAATGGAAGCAACGAAGATAATCTAAACTTTTACTTACATTTTTCAAAGGGAAATTCAGTTGATGGCTTCCTAAGCAGGATTAATTTCTTCTGAGTTGAAAGAGAAGAAAGTGCTGAAAAACTACAGGAAATCTATTTAGAACCTTGTAGAACATTTCACAATACACAATACATTTTTTTTTTTTGCTATTAGCTATTAAGGCATTTTGTTGTTTTGTTGTTCTCTAGGCACCAAAATGGTACCAGTTGCTGAGTAATAAATACACCAAGTTCAAGTCTGAGATACAGATAAGCATTGCTTTGGAAACAGATACAAAAGCACCAATGGATAGTTTTAAAGCAAAGGGAGCCCCCCCTCGCCATGGAAAAGGTTTGTGCATCATCTCTGAGACATTCTCTGAGAAGTTTCATCTTTGGACTAGAACTTTAGGAAGCAGGTGGGTTATAGATAGATGAGGGAATGTAAGCTGAACTACTCTAGTGCAGCAGACAAATATTGTGACATTGTTACACATGTAACACTTGTTTCTCTTAGCTCTTGTTTACAAATCTTAGAAATAGGGGAAGCATATCTTTTCATTGTTTGATGTATAGTAGAACAAAGCAGAATTTTGTATTATTTTTAAAAATTGCTACTTGGGAAAATTTTCTTTCTAGAATGAGTATAGAAAAGCCCAAACTGGTTATTTTGTTCTCTGTTTATTAACTCAGCTGTGCTTTAACAAAACCTTCATCTTTCTTTCTTCCTTTTTTAATTAATAAACTTTATTTTTTACAGCAGTTTTAGCTTCACAGTAAAATTGATTGGAGAGTACAGAGAGTTCCCATATGCCCCAATCCCCAACATGTGCACAACCTCTCCTACTATCAACATCTCGGCTACAGAGTGGTGGTGTTAGAATTAATGAGCCTACCTTAACACATCATCAGCAAAAGTCCATATTTACATTAGGATTCATTCTTGGTGTTGTACATTCTATGGGTTTTGACAACTGTAATGACATGTATCCACCATTGTAGTATCATGCAGAATAGTTTCACTGCTCTAAAAATCCTCTGTTCCACCTATTCATTTCTCCCTCCCACCAAGTCCCTGACAACTACTGATCTTTTTTACTATCTCCATAGTTATGCATTTTACAGAATGTCGTAGTATAACATAGTTGGAATGATGTAGTCTTTTCCATATTGGCTTCTTTCACTTAGTAATAAGCACATTTATGTTCCCTCCATGACTTTGCATGGCTGGATAACTCATTTCTTTCCAGTGCTAAATGATATTTTATTGTCTGGATGTACCAGTGTATTTATCCCTTCACCTACCGAAGGACATCTTGGCTGCTTCCAAGCTTTGGCAATTATGAATAAAAATGCAGTAAACATCTATCTACAGGTTTTTGTGTGGACATAAGTTTTCAGTTCATCTGAGTAAATATCAAGGAGTGCAATTGCTGGGTTGTATGGTAGAAGTATGTTTAGTTTTGTAAGAAATTGACAAACTGTCTTCCAAATTGACCATACCATTTTGCATTCCCACCAACAGTGAATGAGAGTTCCTGTTGCTCCATATTCTTACCAGCATTTGGTGGTATCAGTGTTTTGGATTTTGGCCTTTCTAATAGGAGTATAGTGTTATCTTGTTGTTTTAATTTGCAATTCCTTAATGACAGATGATGTTGAACATGCTCACCTACGTTTACCTGTTATCTGTATATCTTTTTTGATGAGGTGTCTGTTCAGGTCTTTGGCCCATTTTTAAATCAGGTTGTTCATTTTCTTATTATTGAGTTTTAAGAGTTCTTTGTATATTTTTGGTGAAAGTCCTTTATAAGGACTGTTACAAATACATTTTTCTAGTCTGTGGCTAGTCTAGTCTTCTGGTCCTCTTGACTTTGTCTTTAAAAGAACAGAAATTTTAAATTTTAATGAAGTCCAGCTTATCAATTATTTTATTCACTGATGTGCCTTTGTTGTTATCTGAAAAGTGTTTCCATACCCAAGGCCACTTAGGTTACTCCTATGTTATTTTCTAGTTTTGTAGTTTTACATTTTATATTTAGGTCTGAGATCCATTTTGAGCTAATTTTTAGAGATGGTGTGAAGTCTATGTCTAGATTCATTTTTTTTGTATGTGAATGTCCAGTTGTTTTAGCATCATTTCTTGAAAAGACTGTCTTTGTTCCATTGTACTACCTTTGCTCTTTCGTCAAAGATCAGTTGACCATACTTATGTGGGTCTATTTCTGGGCTCTCTATTCTGTTCCATTGATCTATTTATATATTCTTTTGTCGATACCATACTGTCTTGATTACTGTAGCGTTAACATTAGGCTTGAAGTCAGGTGGTATCAGTCTTTGACTTTTTTGTTCACCTTCAATATTGAATTGGCTGTTCTGGGTCTTTTGCCTCTCCATATAAACTTTAGAATCAGTTTGTCAGTATCCACAGAATAATTTTTTCTTTTCTTTTCTTTTTTTTTTTTTTTTTTCATTTTCAACTCTGTACTGTAGAATGAGGGTACTAGTATCCACAGAATAATTTGCTGGGATTTTGATTGGGATTGCTCTGAATCTATAGGTCAAGTAGAAAAGAACTGAAATCTTGACAGTGTTGAGTCTTCCGACCATGAACATGCACTCACTCTCCATTTATTTAGTTATTTTTAAATTTTCTTTATATATCATAGTTTTGCAGTTTTCCTCATATAGATATGCACTTATTTTGTTAGACTTAGGCCTAAGTATTTCATTTTTGGGGGTGTTATGTAAATGGTAATGTGTCTTTATTTCAAATTCTATTTGTTGCTGGTATATAGGAAGGCTATTGATTTTTCATATTAACCTTGTATCCTGCAACCTTGCTATAATCATTTATTAGCTACAGAAGTATTTTTGTCAATTTTTCTCCACAGATTTTCTGCATAGATAATGTCATCTGTGAACAAAGGCAATTTTATTTCTTCCTTCCCACTCTGTTATTTCTTTTATTTCCTTTTCTTATTGCATTAGCAGATACTTCAAGTATGATGTTGAAAAGGAGTGGTGAACCAAAAGAAACCAACAAAGCACCAGCAATGGACCCAGAACAACAGCAGATTTATAAAATGTCTGACAGAATCCAGAATAGTCTTCTTAAAGATGTTCAGGGAGTCACAAGAAAATACAAAATGATCTTTTGAAAACCAGGAGCAGAATAAGAAACTTGACAAAGGACTAGAATCAATTAAAAATCAGTTAGAAATTCTAGAAATAAAGAACATGTCTGAACTGAAAACGATACAAGCTCAAATAGCAGACTTGATTAAATAGAGGAAAGAATCAGTGAGCTCAGAGAGAGAACATATGAAATTACCCAATCAGGAGCAAAAAGAAAAAAACAAAAAGAAAAATGAAATAGAAATTACAGCAATTATGGGCTCCTTCAAATAAGTTCCACATAATTGGTGTATCTGAAGGAGATGAAAAAGGAAGAGACCTAGAAAACATATTTAAGGAAATAATGGCTGAAAATTTCCAAAGTATGGAGAAAGATGACAGCATCCAAGTACAGGAAGCTCAGAGGTCACCAAATAAATTCAGTCCAAAGAGGAATGTCCCAAGGTACGTCACAATCAAATTATCAAAGACCAAAGACAAAAAATACCAAAAGCAGCAAGAGAAAAGAAACACATAATATTCAGTGGAGCCCCAATACGGGTCTCAGCAGGTTTATCAGAAGAAACGCTAAAGGGCAGAAGAGAGTGGGAAGGTATATACAAAGTGCTGAAGGAAAACAGCTGTCACCCAAGAATTCTATATCCAGCAAAACCTTCAAATATGAAGGAAAAATAAAGTCTTTCCCAGACAAACAAAAGCTACAGGGCAGAAGAGAGTGGGAAGGTATATACAAAGTGCTGAAGGAAAACAGCTGTCACCCAAGAATTCTCTATCCAGCAAAACCTTCAAATATGAAGGAAAAATAAAGTCTTTCCCAGACAAACAAAAGCTAAGGAAATTCACCAACCCTAGACCTGCCTTACAAGAAATACTAAAGGGAGTTTTTCAGTCTGAAAGAAGGCGACACTAAAGTGTAACACAAGAAAAAATTTGAAGGTTCAAAACTCACTAGTAAAGTAAGTACACTAACATACTCAGGATACTCCAGTGTTGTGAGGGTGGTGAATAAGCCACTTACTTCCTTAGTTTAAAGATTAAAGGACAGACAATAAGATAATAAAAAATACCACAACCATATAAGAGATTGGTGATATTAAGAGATGTAAATTGAAACAATAAAATGTCAAAAAGAGGGAGGAAATGATTCAAAGTGTAGAGTCAGCTTTGTGGTTTTTTTTTTTTGTTATCAGCAATCAAAGTTAAGTTATTAGTTTAAAATAACCTATTATAACATGTTTTTTGTAAGCCTCATGGTAACCATAACCCAAAAATCTATGGTAGACATACTAAAAATAAATAATGAGAAATCAAAATATACTACCAGAGAAAATCACTCAGTCACAAAGGAAGATGGTAAGACTGGAAAACATGAAAAAAGAATCAGCAGAACAACCAGAAAAAAAAATAACAAAATGGCAGTAACAAGTCCCTATATATCAATAATAACTCTAAATGTTAATGGATTAATTGCCTCAATTAAAAGACAGAGTGGCTGAACGAATGGATTATAAAATAAGAACCAACAATATACTGCCTCCCAGAAACTTACTTCATCTATAAAGACATACATTGACAGAGATAGAAAAAGATATTTTATGCAAATCGAAACCAAAAACAGCAGGAGTCAGGTATACTTAGATAAAATAAACTTCAAACCAAGGAAGTAAAAAAGATGAGGAAGGTCATCATATAATGGGACAAGGTTCAATTCATCAAGAGGATATAACAATTCTAAATACATATGCACCCAACACTGGAGCACCCAGGTATATAAAGCAAATACTAACAGATCTAATGGGAGAGAGAGACTCCAACACAATTATAGTTGGGAACCTTAACACCCTACTTTCAGCAATGGACAGATCATCTAGACAGAAAATTAACCAAGACACATCAGGTTAATCTTCACGCTAAAGTGATTGGATCTCACAGACATATATAGGACATTCTGTCCAATAGCTGCAGAATATACATTCTTCTCAGCAACACATGGAACATTCTCTAGAATAGACCATATGTTAGGTCACAAAACAAGTCTCAAGAAACTTAAAAAAATAAAAATCATATCAACTACCTTGTCCAACTACAATGGAATAAAACTAGAAATCCATAATAGAAGAGACACTGGAAACTGTACAAATACATGGAAATTAAACAACATGCCTCTAAAGAATGAATGGGTCAAAGAAGGAATCAAAAAGGAGATTAAAACGT